CTGATACAAGGTCCTGGTATAATTGAAAGGAAGAAGACGACGCACCCAAGCAAATAGAAAAAAGATAAAAGATAGTAGTCAAAAACTATCTATGTTAATGCCAGCCAGTCTGATCAGCAAGTCCTTTTGTTTGACACCATCTAATTGATGAAGAAGGGCAGATTTGCCTTTCCATTATCAATCGTGGTCAATATGAATCCTCACTCAAGCATTATAACTATCCAAAGCATGGCAACACACATATTATGCATGTTCTGAAACATTAATCCTTTGGCATTTTATTGGACCTCGTCTTTGCCCTTCCTTTATTCAGGCATACAAGTACAACAAGAGAACTTATTTGAAGCCAAAAGAAAAGGTCAGAAATTCCAGAAAAGTCATCACCAAAATTCAGGGAATCATTTAAACATACCATCAAATGGAGGAAGAAAATTTCAAGAAAATATGTCTGAACAAAGCTGCTATCCTATAAATCGTAAGTTCAAAGTCAGGGAAGTCATAATGCTATTTCCACGAGGTTATGCACATGAATGTGATGAAATTGAAATTGAATGTACCTTGATGCATAAAAAATGGATGGATTCAGGGACTTCGTGTAAAGATCAAATTGCCTCACTTATGAGTCATTAAATTGCATATAGTAGTCACAAATAAAAAAGAGCTCAAAACAGATCAGATCATGTGCCAAAAAGTTCTTCAGAAGTTGCAAATCTTACTGGGAAATTTCCCAACAATTCCTAGTTTTAAATAGGGGCTAAATTTTCAAATTCCTTTTACTAAATCCCATATCTTTACAATATTGCTGTCAAATTCTCATTTTTTCCAAACCGGTAAAGGTACTTCAAATTTAAATTTTCAAAAAATGGGGTGTAATAAAATTTGAATTCAATGCCCAAAATGGACAATTCCAGCATGAAGAACGTGCATTTATCTGTTGAAATTTCAACAAAATCAGAATTTGGACCTGGGACTGGGTACAATCTGAAACAAAGAGAATGATTGGGTACAATCTAACAACCCGTACAACAAACCTGGGCATTTCCTTGGACGGGTCGAAACTTAAAAATTGAAGCACAAAGGTGTTGGGAAGATTTTACGAATCTTCGAAAAATTAGAATTAACTCTCTCCGAAAATTCAACATCAAATTAATCTAATGATGAAACAAGATCTTTAATTCCACATTAACACATTTCAAGAACAATGAGTTTGGAAACCACCAACCAAAATTGAATCAACCCAAGTTAAAACTAAATCAAAACAGAGATAAATTGACGTGCAAACCTTGAAGACTGATTGAAAAACACAAAATCTGTTGCTTATTGAAGCTGAAACTTGTTGATGGGCTAGCAATTGCTGGGAGATGTTTGGGCGTGATGAAGATGAAGCGGCAAAGAGATTTAGTGAATTACTTCCTGTGAAAACATATTGGAGGCAAATAGAAGGTTAATTTACGTGGGTTATTTAGGGTGGTAGCGGTTATTGGAGGTTTACGTGGGTTATGTAGGGTTGTTGGATTTTTTTTTTTGTTAAAAAAATGTTGATAAATTGTCTTTTCTCTTATTCTTTTTAATTATCTTCAACTTCGAGTATATATTTTAATGGGAGAAATAAAATATAATAATCACAATTATAATGTATCAAACCAAAGTAAATAGGCATTTTTCGTATTTCATGAACAACCAAAAAATCCTACAACATGTCTTAGGGTCTTAAATACTAAAAGAACAGATAATCTACT